TCTTTCCCTGGTCCCATAACTGCGTCATGGGTTTCTCCTAGCTTAGGAACAAAAAGATTAATTAACCGCCTTACCAGACATGCTGCCTCCATGATTGCCAGGGCCCTGACCAGCCCCCCAGGGCTTCTCTTTACCCTGTCTATGGCCCAGGATCCCTCTCCAGCCCAAACCAGGGCTGTCAGTCCCTGTCCCAGCGACACTGCAGGTTGTCATTTTCCAGCTTCCCCCAGCCTTGCCCAGCCTGGCCATGTGCCCCGATGAGCCAGGCCCACCAGTGGCCCAACATCCCAGCTCGTCCTCAGCCTGGCCCCATCCCCACAGCCCTGCCTGGCCATCCCTGGACATGCCTCTGTGCTGCAGACGATGGACTTTCTGGCTTGAACTCATCCTGCCTCGTCACCGTGAACCTACTTGATGATCTACAGGTGTGATTGAACCTGCCGAGGGTCTCCAGGCCTGCCCTGCTCCCTGGGTGGGGGCGGTGGGGCAGGCTTTGGTGTTAGCACACTCAGCTCCCGACTCGCAGGCCCTGAGGGAGCCGCCGGCCCTCGCTGCACCCTGGCACAAGTGTCCACTGTGCCATGATGCCTAGGTTCTGCTGCAAGTCCTTGCCAGGAAACTACACCCCAACCCACCCACAGCCTCCTACACCCTAATAGATCTGTTGTTGCTGTAACTGCAAGCTACAGATAAGTGGCAGTGGGGCAGTCCCAAGGGAAGGTTGAACTGGGCCAACAGAAGTCCTCCTGTCAATTTATGAGTTGTGGAGAAGTGTTACTGCATGATAGCTGGATCTGTTGTTTTCCCACAACTGAAAACTAGAGTGATGAGGCCTTACGTCCACTTCTTCAGCTCCTTCTTGAGGAACAAGTGGCATTGAATAGGTCTGCCAGTCCAGCTGGCCCAAGGTCTCAAGGAACGTGAGAGAAGAGCTGCCCTCACCAGCAATTTGTTTTGATTAACTAGCATCTAGGAGAGTTGTATTAACTTGCATCTAGGCAGGATGTATTCATGATCTCCCAGTGCGCAGGGATAATGGTGGCTGGTTCATCAGATAGACTGTCCCCATTTACCTTTCCAGCTATCTAGACAGGTTATCACTCTGGTTATGAAGCAGGTGTGATGTGCCAGCATCAGCCCTCAGATGAGGATGTTGAACCTACAGCAGCTCCCAGCACTTAGGAAGTGCTCAGTTTTCATGGCAGGTGAGTGGTGTCAGGCTAGCCCAGTGTCCAGACCCCTGGGGTAGGAAGGAGTCTACGATGGTGCTTTGGCTCAGCCCAGATCCCCCTTCTCTCAGCGACTCTCACTCAGTAACTACAACAAGTGGCACAACTCCAACAGCCTCCACCAAGACCATGTTTTGCAGCTTTTAATCTAAGCAAAATAAGGAGAGGAGCACAATCACAGCTAATGGAATTTATTCTTACCTTTATGAGGAATGGCTTCAAGTGGAGCACTCCACTGAGTGAATAAGGGTTCCCCCTTTCTTTCTTCCCCAAAGCAACTTATTTGTGAAGATCCCAGCAGTGAATGGATACTGTACTTTCTCTCCCTC